GGGGGCACCTGTGAGCCATTAGCATCCGTATTGCACATTTCAAACAGATGGGGGACGGGGCGGGGGGGGGCAGCCGCCCAGTGAGGGGGATCTGGGCAGGGTGCTCACAGCACCTGCTGCCCAGTGCCCCACCCAGGGAAACTGGCATTTCATGCCCCTGGCATTTCAGAACCAATGTGGTCAAAACTGAACAGTCACCTCCCCCCACACTCATCTCATATCTACACCAGGACTCTGACCAGCCCATGATCACATTCTCAGAACCCACCCCTCGCATTGTTCAACCTGTCAGGGAGTAAACCTGCCTCATCCCCTCTGCAGTGACTCCATCCCAGTCAGCCCCACACTCTCTCAGCTTCTGTGACAACCCTCCTTCTATTCTCCCTTCCCTCCTCTCCCCTTGGCCATTGCCCTGGGGCGACATGTCCTTGCTCGGCTCCCTGATGATTCACCCCTCGTGAATACACATACACACACACACACACACACACACACACACACACACTGAAGCCAGGGTGTTGGCTAAAGTGGACAAGGATCTGCTCTCCCCTCTAAAATCACCTGGCTCGTTACTGCTTTTCCAGACCTGGGTCTGTCCATCTCTCCAGTCCCACCCTGACCCACCCCCTTGCATGCCTCCCTTGAGCACTGAACTGAGTGTCACTTCTCACTCTACCATGCCAGGCCCTCTGCTTGTCCTAAGCAGTTTTCTCCCCAGAGCACCCTCTTTCCCCCTTGCTGGGCTCAGGTCCCCTCCATTGCACACCCATCACACTGTAGCCATCATATGCAAATGGAACTCACCATCCAGAGTTTTACTCTCAGGGAGGACTGACAATGCTCTATGCCATTCATGAAAGTCTGTTACCTGTTTTCTCAGGGGTAAGAGGTCTAATGGTCAAACGGCAGACTCTCACCAGTCAATCACTGTAGAAGGCACTGACAAGGCCTCCATGCCTCCCTGCCTGTTTTGTCTCCTTCTCAAAGGTTGCAATGGAAAAAATGTTTGTGTCATCTCCTTTCTGCTATCAGTGGTCACATATGCATGTTGAGGGCCTGGTCCCAGGCAAGGGACATATGGCCAACTCCGATGTAAAATGTGAAAGGGCAAGACAGGGCTGAGGCTATAGGTGGGTTGCCATGGAAGCAGGATGGGCAGTCACGGGAGGAAATTGGAAACAGATGTGATCAGCACAGACCCATATCATCCTGATGAGTGATCCCTCTCTCAGGTTGGTCAGGGATGTGCCAGCTATGACAAAACTGATGGGTAACATTTGCTGATTTCCATGGTGGAAGTACTTCCACCAAGGCCAATTTCAAGCTACCAAGAGTTTAACAACCAGCTCAGAAAAATCCTGACCACTTAACAATTGGCAATGGCAAGCCTGTATCCTCTGGCACAGACACAACACAGCCCCCTGGGTATCCTCTGTAAAGTTTCCTCCCCCAACTTGCATTGATGTAGAGTGAGAAGCATGAGGTTCCTCTAACCTGCCTGAGATCAGCCCCACCTGCTCACCAAGAGGAGACAAGCCTGACAGGTAGCAAAGTAAGTGCTCTGTGAGATCCTGTCCTCTGTCCCTCTCAGAGCGGGGAATCTGTGTCTTGGTACAGGTTGGCCCACAAGCAGACCTAAGACAAGCATTTAGTGGAAGTAGTTTGTTTGGGAGGTGATTCCAGAAAGTGCCAGCACGAGTGTAGAGAAGGGAGAAAGGGCAGGACCTGAGTCAGAAGAGGACGTGTCAATGAACAGGTCACAGAAGTGGGCGACAGGGGCTCAAGCCAGCTGGGGACCTCAGGGGGAGGTGTGACATATCTGGGAGTGGACCCCCCAAGGAGTGAGGAAGAGGAGGTATTTTTCTACCAAGTCCCCCCAATAATTGGTTGAGGCTGCTCCCTGGGTTCAAACGCCCCAATGTTTCCAGTCTGCCCCAGAGCAAAGGTCAGCTAGAGAATGGGGAGTGGGCAAGACATGGACAGTGTCTGAAACACCCAAGCAAACAGATATGTGACCTGTGTGTCGCTCTTTGTATCTCTCACACTCACGCAGAGCTCTTCACCCCAATGAGCAGGATGCTTCTTTTTAATGGTAAAAAAACATTTATATACCTTTGATCCCTAAACACAAGCTCACAGGGACTTCCCAGGTGGTCCAGTGGTTAAGAAGCCGCCTTCCAATGCAGGGCATGTGGCTTCGATCCCTGGTTGAGGAACTAAGAGCCCACCTGCCATGGGACAACTAAACCCGCGTGCCGCAACTAGAGAGAAGCCCACGACAAAGAGCCTGAGCACCACAACGATGACCCAGTGCAGCCAAAAATAAAAATAAACACAAGCTCACAACTGAAATCTGGGACCCAGCTGAAGAAACAGTGATGTGTCTCAATGCCAAAGGAAAAGCAAGGAGGGGTGGGCTTTCCAGAGTTAAGATTGTCAAGGGCAAGTGAAACGCTATGGGCATTGTACCTGTAGGCTTAACCCTGAGACTGAACTGCGTCTCTGTGAGTGTTTAACAAAAGCCTGGCCCCTCCAGACTGTCACCTCCATGTGAGCAGGGACAGCATCCCCACCAGCACTGCACACAGAGCAGGTCTCCTTAAGTCCCTACTGGGTGTTGGAGGAGGAGGGCAGAGGTGTGTGAAGGGCATGGGAGGGACCCGAGAATGGAGACGCTGTGCTGGACCTCTTGGCCCTGGCCTCTCCCCATGCCCTCCTGGAAGGAACAGGGGCCTCACCCACGACTGTGTTTACAGGAGTGATCTCTCTCTCTCTCTCTCTCACACACACACACATACACACACACACACAAAAGAGGCTACCCGGAGCTAAGGACTCGGTCCTGGTAAGTGGGAGGAGGGGAGACAAATGAAATTGATGCCTGGAGTAAGTTGCTTTCACAAGAATTTATTTCTCAGAGTCTAGAAGTCTGAACCAGGGCAGGCAGACCCTTAGGTCTTTTCCCTGGGCTCACAATTCACCCAATTAATCTGATTATTGGGACGATAATTGGGCCATACGTCTTCCAACCTCTTAGTATCTTCCTACCCAGGCTTCGCACTCCCCCGACACTCTGGGGCTATGCAAGAGGAAGAAACAAGTTACTATGGAAAATGGGCCCAGGGTAAGACCAGAATCCTCCCCACGTGGACATCCCCACTAACTGGGTGACTTCAGGAGACTTTGGGCCCCAGTTCACTTTCTGGCTGTGACCTTTGGAGCATGTGGTTGAAACCCTACACCTACAGACAGATGAGGAAACTGGGGTCCACAGATGGCAAGGGGTTTCCCAGGGTCACAAGCCCATCCCAGCAAAGCTAGACGGGAGTAGGGGCTGAAAGCACATTACTCTAATCAGTGCCTCTCAGAATTCAGCACAGTCGGAATCCCCTGGAGGCCTTGTGAAAATACAAATGGCTGGGCCCCAGCCCAGAGTCTGATTCAGGAGGTCTGAGTGCGGCCTGGGAATCTGCCTTTCTGTCAAGTTCCCGGGTGGGACCCCACTTAGAGAACCACTGCTCTAAGGGATGGCAGAGCCAGTCCTGGAGGCCTGGGGCTCGGGTGAGGGAGAGGCCAGGTAGGAGGGCCTTTCTCTGCCCTGGAAAGGGCAGTGGGTATTTGGTCCAAAGGATGTTCCTCAACCCACCCTGTTATTAGCTCCACAACACAGAACGGGCCACTCACCACAGTGCAAGTGATATCGAAGTTGTCCTTGATCTGAGCCAGGGTGACTGTCCCCACACACTCTTTCACCAGCTGTAAGGGGAGGTTCGAGCTCAAACTGGAACCCCCGGACCATTGCCTCCCAGCCTCAGCCCAGGGGCTAGAAATCTTCCCCAAAGCCCCCTATTCAGCTCCCTGGGAATCATCCACCAGCACTCTAAGCCCCCAGCCTCACCCCATTCTCCTTGAAGTCACACTGCTCTGGGGGCTGCTGGGTCGTCCTGGGGCACACGGTCTCCTTCACTGTGAAGCTCACAGGCTTTGGGGTGTCCAGGTTCTCATCCTGCTCAAGGATCAAAGTGGGGTGACTGGGCTCAAGCTCATGCTTCCTTCTCTGATCTGTCTCCCTGTCCCTCACCTAGACGGCAGCCTCTTCAGCCCCTCCTGTGTGCCTGGCCCTGGGTTTGCTGCTGGGTGCACAGGGGAAGGGGACAGAGCCCACTCCTGGCCTCGTGGGCACACAGAGAGCAGGAGGGGACCTCAGACCAGCTCTGATGAGAACACCTTCCCCACGGAGGGGCTGAGGCAAGTCAGGGACCACCTGCAGGGAAAGACCTTGTCACTGGAACCTCCAAGCTGAGCAGAGCCCTCCCTGGTAGGAAGACAATGAGGAACAGATGGGACTTAAAGCAGGGAAGTCACATCACAGACCAAGTAACCGCCCCCCCTATCCTGGAGCTCCCAGAAAGCCCTGGAGCCCAGGGCACCTGTTCCCACAGTAGAGATGCTAAGGCAGGAAGCTCTCATGCTAGGAGGGGACCCAGCTCTGGGAAGGTTTCCTGGAAGAGGTGGGAGCCCACCTAGAAGGAGAAGTGCCTTCCTGACAGGAGGTACAGCCTGAGCAGAGGGGGTGACAGCGTGGCCAGGGCTGGCGGGAGACAGCCCCCTCCCCAGGGTCCTCCTGACTCACGGTCTTGGGAGGCAGGTCCAGCTCCAGGAGGCGGTAGAGATTAGCTTCTAAGGACCGCTCGTTGAGCTGATCCAAAGCACGAAACACAGCTTCCCTGTAGCTGAGGGCCTGGGCGCTGGCCGAGGGCACCACTAGTCCCAGCAGCAGTAGCCACAGTGACCACTGCCCCAGGGCGAGGCTGGCCCTCTGAGTCTCCATGGTCCCCAAGTTGGCCTCCTCCCAGCATGCAGGACCCTCCTTTATGCCCCCTGGGCCTGATGCAATGGCCCAACCACGCGTCTTCCTGACCTGCCCCATCCCTGATCTCCCCGGCTGTGAGCTGGACTTGCCTCAGCCCCTGCTTTTGCCTCATGGGGTTGCTGGGCAGTGGGCAAGGGAAGCCTCCTGTGGAAGGTGAAGAAATGGTTTCTCCATCTCCCTGACAATGTCTTGGCCTCTCCTGGGGACCATGGGGAGTGCCATAGGCAGGGTTGCTCAAGAGCGTTGAGTCCTCCAGGAGAGGGAGGACCAGGCTCTGTCTTACGTCCCCTCTGCCTCCACACTCTGGCCTCCTCAGGAATCAGGGTGACAAAGTGTATTCTCTACTGAATCTCCAGCTCTAGGCACTCCCTGGCATGCAATAGGCAGTCAATGAACATTTGATGAGTGGTTGACGGTACCACTCACAGCTAAGGACTTACACACCCAGCCAATCCCTTGGCAGATGCAAAGCCCACACCATCCTTTTCTCTGCACTCAGCACTCAGACAGTGAGCTCCATTTGTCCCCTCTCCTTGATTTTTCTCCACTGCTTTCTCAGCCAAAACATTTCCTCTCCCCTGACCCCACCAAACGTGCCTTATTGCCCTGGCTTCTCCCCAGCCAAGCCTGAGAAAGGATCATCTATACCCTGACCACACTTCTTTGCTCCATCTCACCGTGAAGGCCACTGCAACAGGACAGCCCTCCCTGAATCTGGAGGCCATGCTCAAGCCTTATCTTTTTTTTTTTTAATTTTATTTATTTATGGCTGCAGTGGGTCTTCATTGCTGCGTGTTGGCTTTCTCTAGTTGTGGCGAGTGGGGTTACTCTTTGTTGCGGTGCACGCGCTTCTCATTGCGGTGGCTTCTCTTGTTGCGGAGCACGGGCTCTAGGCACACTGGCTTCAGTAGTTGTGGCTCACGGGGTCTAGAGCACAGGCTCAATAATTGTGGTGTGCGGACTTAGTTGCTCCGTGACATGTGGGATCTTCGTGGGCCAGGGATCGAACCTGTGTCCCCTGCATTGGCAGGCGGATTCTTAACCACTGCGTCACCAGGGAAGACCCTCAAGCCTTATCTTTAACATCACAGGCGGTGGAGCCCTTCTTTCCTCCAGAAACTGACCGATTGTCCCCTGCTGCCACTCTCCTGGGTGCCCTTCTGCCTCCCCCGTGGCTCCTGCTCAGTCTCCTCCAAGGACCCTCCTCCTAAGAGGCAGGGCTGGCACAGGTGCGTCCAGGCTGCTTCTCCTCCCAGTCCTCACACATTCCTGGGGACACCCCTTCTCAAGATACCAGTTTTCAAGGACACACATCACTGGTCTCTATCTCTGAGCTCAAGACTCCCATGAGTGCCCCTGGTTGTCCGCACTGGGCTGTTGGCTGCTGTTGGCTGGGTGCCGCCGCAGGAGCCCTGAGCTGAAAGCCTGGGAGCCCCACCTGCTCCTTCTTCCTCCTAAGGACACTCCCTCTGGCCTCCCACCAGCCCAGCCCAGCTCCTACCACCGTCTTCTCTCCTCGCAAGCGTAGCCACAGCCTCCGGACTCCACCTTCTCTGGTTCCAGGCTCTCCCCAGACCACTGTCCGCCCTCCACACCATTGTCTAGGGGCTCATGCCAAGCACTGATTGGGCCATTTCCCCCGCTGCCTTGAGGCAGGGGCATCGGGGTCTGGGTCTTGATGCTCCCTGCTGTCCTCCGTCCCTGCCCTGCAGGCCTCAGGTGTCAGGCTGCCCCATCCACCGCAGCCACTCTGACAGCGCTGAGTCCCCTGCTCTTCCCCATCTCTGCACCTGGTCCCTCTTCTTGCCCTGCCTTTCCGCCTGGGGAAGGCTTCAGGGACCTTCAAGCACACAAGGCATCTCTTCTTGTCTGCCATAGCCCTCAGGAAGTCTCTTCTGATTTAACCCCAAGTGACTCCGTGTCCAGTGCTCTGGTTGAGTCATCAGGCAGGGATAGCCAGTGCTCGGGGGTGGAGGGAGCACAACTGGGAGAGATAATGAGCCAAAGTGTTAGAGGGGCCCAGAGGCCGTGAAGCAAATTCTGATCCAGTCTCCCATGGAATGGCCATGTGACTGAAAGCCTGTGGGACTCTTGGCAATTGGCTGGGGCACTTCGGAAGGTGGCAACCGGGAAGGATGGCGTTGGTTGCGCACTCAGCCTTGGAGAAGGAAGGAGAGGTGGGCTTCTGTGCAACCTGGTTTCACAGTCCAGGTGTTGCCCTAGTGGCCTCTTGGTCAAGCTGTGTACTTTCCCCAAGTCAAAGGAGAAAAAGAAGGTGATCACAGTAGAAAATAATTGGCAATACACATTGTTACTGCTGTCTGGTAACCCTGAAATCGTTGTTGTGCTCTCTTGCCTCTGCGCCTTTGTGTTTGTTCATTCTTCAGACTGAAGTCCCCTTTCTCGTCCTCCCCTGAATCCTTAGGAGGGTCCCCTGCCAGGTCCTCAGGCAGCACCTCCCATGGTGGGGGGAGAGCCTTCCCTTCCTCCAGCATCTGGCTTTCCTGGTTTAGTCCTCACAGCCTGTCAGAGCGGAGGTCTTCTCAGGAAAGACACAACAGCCCTTGTCCCCAAGCAGGTTGCCCCTGACTCCACTTCTGGTCCTTGAGAAATCCTCATGCAACCTTCACCCCAACAAACTCAGGTATGAGCCCTGATCCTGCATCTCCTCTCTCCTTTGCTCCTCCCAGCCATCCTTCCTGTCCATGAGACTCATGGCCATTGTACCTGTAGGCTTAGCCCTGAGTCTGGACTGCATCTCTGTGACTGTTTAATAAGATGCCTGGCCCCTCCTGGACTGTCACCTCCATGTGAGCAGGGACAGCATCCCCACCAGCACTGCACACAGAGCAGGTCTCCTTAAGTCCCTACTGGGCGTTGGAGGAGGAGGGCAGAGGTGTATGAAGGGCACGAGAGGGACCCGAGAATGGAGACGCTGTGCTGGACCTCTTGGCCCTGGCCCCTCCCCATGCCCTCCTGGAAGGAACAGCTGCCTCACCCATCTCTCTGTCTCGTGCCTGCATTCACACACACACACACACACACACACACACACACACACACACACGTGGCATCCCAGAGTTACGGTCAATCTTGGTAAGTGGGAGGAGGGGAGACGAGTGAAACTGAAGTCTGGAGGATCCTGATTTCACAAGAATTTATTTTTCAGAGTCCAGTAGCCTGAGCCAGAATAAGCATACGATTAGGACTCTTCTCTGTCTCATGATGCAAAGCCTTGATGTGCTGATTACCTGCACACTCTTAACACTATTATGCGACATCTTTGCGTAGGCTGTGGTGGCGCCCATGGTAGCTTTGTAATCCTGACACTCTGGGCCTGTGAACCAGCAAGAAACAGGTTGCTCTTCGTACTGGACCAGCATCAACACAAGACCCCTCCCCACCTGGACTTCCCTCTTCCAGGGCCACACCAGGATCCTTGGGGCCCCAGTTCACCCTCTGGCTGTGACCTGTGGAGCTTGTTGAATCCGGACACATACAGGCAGAAGAGAAAACTGAGGCCCACAGAAGGCAAGGGGCTTCCCAGGGTCACAAGCCCAACCCATCAAAGCTGGATGACAGCAGGGGATGAAAGCTCCAGTCAGTGCCTTTCAAGTTCAGCAGTCATAATCCCCTGGAGGCCTTGTGAAAATACAAATGGCTGGACCCCAGCCCAGAGTCTGATTCAGGAGGTCTGAGTGGGGCCTGGGAATCTGCCTTTCTGTCAAATTCCCAGGTGGGACCCCACTTAGAGAACCACTGCTCTAAGGGATGGCAGAGCCAGTCCTGGAGGCCTGGGGCTCGGGTGAGGGAGGGGCCAGGTAGGAGGGCCTTTCTCTGCCCTCGAAGGGGAAACGGGTATTTGGTCCAAAGGATGTTCCACAACCCACCCCATTATCAGCTCCATAACACAGAAGGGGCACTCACCTCATTACAGTTTATGTCAAATTGGTCCTTGGACTGGTCCAGGGTGACTGTCCCCACACACTGTTTCACCAGCTGGAAGGGGAGGCTCGAGGTCAAACTGGAACCCCCCGGGCCATCACCTCCCAAACTCAGCACAGGGGCTGGAAATCTTCCCGGAAGCCCCCTGTTCACATCCCTGGGAAGCATCCTCCAGTGCCCCCAGCCCCCAGCCTCACCCCATTCTCCTTGAAGTCACACTGCTCCGGGGGCTGCTGGGTCGTCCTGGGGCACACGGTCTCCTTCACTGTGAAGCTCACAGGCTTCAGGGTGTCTGGGTCCTGATCCTGGTCAAGGATCAACGTGGGGAGACTGGGCTCGGGCTCATGCTTCCTTCTCTGATCTGTCTCCCTGCCCCCACCTAGACGGCAGCCTCTCCAGCCCCTCCTGTGTGCCTGGCCCTGGGCTTGGTGCTGGGTGCACAGGGGAAGGGGACGGAGCCCACTCCGGGCCTTGTGGGCACACAGAGAGCAGGAGGGGACCTCAGACCAGCTCTGACGAGAACACCTGCACCTCTGACGGGCTGAGGGAAGTCAGGGGTCGCCTGCAGGGGGAGACTTTTTCACTGGCACCTCCAGGCTGAGCAGAGTCATTCCCTGGTAGCGGGACACCGAGTTAGGAGGGGACATAAAGCAGGGAAGTCACATGGCAGAGCCAGTGACCCCCCTCTATCCCAGGAGCTCCCAGAGAACCCTTAGGACCAAAAGCGGTGTACAGGGCGCCTGTTCCAACAGTAGAGATGCTAAGGCAGGAAGCCTCATGCTGCGACGGGACCCAGCTCTGGGAAGGTTTCCTGGAACAGGTGGGAGCCCACCTAGAGGGGAAGTGCCTTCCTGACAGGAGGTACAGCCTGAGCAAAGGGGATGACAGTGTGGCCAAGACTAGTGGGAGACAGCCCCCTCCCCAGGCCCCTCCTGACTCACGGTCTTGGGAGGCAGGTCCAGCTCCAGGAGGCGATAGGGATTAGCTTCTGAGGACTGCTCGTTGAGCTGATCCAAAGCACGAATCACAGCCTCCTTGTAGCTGAGGGCCTGGGCGCTGGCCGAGGGCACCACTAGTCCCAGCAGCGGTAGCCACAGTGACCGCCGCCCCAGGGTGAGGCTGGCCCTCTGGGTCTCCATGGTCCCCAAGTCGGCCTCCTCCCAGCACGCAGGACCCTCCTTTATGCTCAACCTGGGCCTGATGCAAAGGCCCAACCAGGAGCCTTCCTGACCTGCCCCATCCCTGGCTACCTTCCAGGGTGTTCACCGGGCTTTCTTCAGCCCCTGCGTTGCCTCACAGGATTGCTGGGCAGTGGGAGCGGGAAGCCTCCTGTGAAGGTGAAGAAATGGTTTCTCCATCTCCCTGACAACATCTTGGCCTCTCCTGGGGCCCATGGGGAGTGTCAAAGGCAGGGTTGCTCAAGAGCGTTGAGTTCTCCAGGAGAGGGAAGACCAGGCTGTGTCTTAACGTCCCTCGGCCTCCACACTCTGGCCTCCTCAGGAATAGGGTAAAGGAGTGATTCAACAGCAACCTCCAAGTTCAGGCACTGCCTTGAACCCAGTAGGAACTCAGTTAAGCTTTGATGAATGGAGGACAGTACGAACCACATCTAGAGCCTTACCCATCCAGCAGTCCATAGGCAGACAGTCAAGCCCTCACCATCTTGTTCTCTGGGCCCAGCCCTCAGCCAGTGAGCTCTGTCTGTCCCCTCTCCTGGATTCTTCACTGCTTTCTCAGTCTAAAAATGTCCTGTCCCCGGTCCCTGACAAACACGACCTATTGTCCTGGCCCCTCTCCAAAGGAGCCTGAGAAAGGGTCATCTACACCACTGACAACACTTCTTTGCAGGCTCACATTCAAGGCCACGGCAGGCTGACCAGCCCTCACTGGATCCAGAGGCCCCTCTCAAGCCTTGTCTTTATATCCACAGGCACTGGAGACACTCTGTGTTCTGAAACTGCCCCTGCCCGATTGTCCCCTGCTGCCACTCTCCTGGGTGCCCTTCTGCCTCCCCCGTGGCTCCTGCTCGGTCTCCTCCAAGGACCCTCCTCCTAAGAGGCAGGGCTGGCACAGGTGCATCTGGGCTGCTTCTCCTCCCAGTCCTCACACATTCCTGGGGACACCCCTTCTCAAGATACCAGTTTTCAAGGACACAAATCACTGGTCTGTATCTCTGAGCTCAAG